TTATATCTCTTCTATCAATTATCTCTAAATAAATGATAGCGCCTTTGTACATGTTTATTTTGTTGTTGGATCTTGGTTCCTTTGCCTGTGCAATCGCACCCGTTTATCATAGTATGTAGATATTAGATAAATGACACTTGGAACTACCCCTAGTTCATTTAAGAACTCATGTATCCAAACAGCCTCCATAGGCTTTTAATGCAACAATGTACTCAGCATTTGTGGTTGAATTCACAGTGGTTTACTGCTTGGAACTATTCCAACCCACTGTCTCATCATTGAAATGAATAGAAGACTATTAAATTATTATTCCCATAATAGAATAAAATATATTCTTTAGTCCATCTAATGTACTAAAGATAGTCTTAGCAGTCTTCCAATATAGTTCCCTAGGATTTTATTGGAATCTATAGGTGATACTGAGTGCATAAGCCATGTAGACCTCGTACATGTCATAAAATGCATAATAGACTCCATCGCATAAGCAAATGTAATCTTCTTCATGCACCAAAGTTTGGCATAAACTGAAAGACAATCTTTCTTTGCCAACTTGATGTTAGGTACATTGGAGAAGCACTTCAGTACCTTGACTATGGACCGTGAAACTCTAACACTCTATTAGATCTATCTCGATAGATCATAATTTCAAGAGTATAACAGTTTCACTCAAACCCTTCACAATGAAGGTACCTGGTAATCAATATTTCACGAACTGCAGGTGAGGAACATCATTCTATTATCAATATGGCACATACATATATGATAAAAATAATATTATCCTCATTGCGTTTACTATAAACACATACATCTTTCTTACTTCTCACAAAGCCAAACAATTATGTAACTTTGTAGAAAAAGATATTCCAACTCCCAGAGGCTTGCTTAAGTCCACTATTGGACCTTGATAACTTACATACTAATTTCGAATTTGACTTGGATATAAAACCTTTAGGTTGTATCATATATACATCCTCCAATTTTCCATCAAGGAAAATGATTTTAATATCCATCTATCAAATATCATAGTCATAGTATGCAACTTTTGCAAGTAAAATCCAAGATGGACTTGATTTCATGAACATGCGAAAAGGTTTTATTACAGTAAACGTCTTCACGTTGACTATAACCTTTAGACACCAACCTAGCCTTGTAGGTTTGTACTTTGCCATTCGCATAAGAGTTTTCTTTTGAAAACTCATTTGTATCCAATAGGTCTAACCCCAATTGGCAAAACCAACCAAGTTCTAAACTTGATTCATGTACATCCAGTCCATTTATGATTTTATGACATCAAGCCACCTCTCTGAGTCCATGTCTTACATAAACTCAGTGTAGGTCCGAAGATCATCCTTATTAGGAATCTCTACATCATCGTGATCCTCCAAGAGGAAAAACAATCTGTTTGGTTCACGACGAGTTCTAGTCAACCTACGGAGTTTTACAATTAGTATTTGTTGTTAGACATTCTGATCATGAAGAAATTCTTGTACGTTGGCATTTCTCAAACGATTGGAGGGTTCTCAAAAATCACGTTTGTATGCGTTTATTGAGAATGAAGGACATCCAAGCCATTAGGTATTGATTGTATATGAGTGTGTTGCACTTCTGCAGTTTCACCCATATTACTCCCACTAGCTAGAAGTTGTTCATCAAATGACAAATTTCTATTTAGGAAATACCAATACCTCCCTCTAAATCTTTGTCAATACCAAACGACAATTCTTGAACCTCGTTATTTTGAATTTTCTTGAACTTTTCAAGTTCTATCACAACACGATCTTGTTCCTTAAAGAAATAATATTCTCCTAGAAACTTTTTCTATCTAAAGACAATTATCTATGTTCCCCAGGAAGATAGAAATAGTATCCTTGTGTTGGATAGCTTTCAAAATAACATTCTTCACTTTTAGATTCCAATTTATCAGTTAAAAGTTTCTTCACATATGCCAGACAACCCTAGGTTCGCATATGTTAAAGACAAGGCCTCTTGCCACGTCATGATTCATATGACGTCTTTACAAGTGACTTCAATGGAACTCTATTCAGAATGTAAATTGAGTTCAATAAGGTATAACATCAATGATATGTGGAAGAGTGATGAAACTTAACATGGATCTAACCATATCTAATAAGGTTCGATTGCTCATTTCGAGGACTCCATCAAATAAGTCCTAGGAGGTATCCATTACAATTGGACTACATGAAATTTCAAGTAATAAAGAAACTCCATGCTGAAGTACTCTTTTACTCGATCAAATCGAAAAGATACTTTAGTCATGTTGTTTCTCTACTCCAAACTTATACTTCTTGAATTTTCTAAGGCTTCGATTTGTGTTCCGTAAGACACACATAACTTAGCCTTTAAAATCATTAGTAAAGATAACGGAGTATGAAAAACCTCTTCTGGCTTGAGTTTCGGAAGGTCCACATAAGCAATGTAGACCAACTCAGACATTCTTAGGCTTTTGTCCCTTTTCCAAGAAAACGACTTATTGGTCATCATTTCATTTAAGACAAAATACACAAAGTTCATGTAACTCAAAGTCACATGATGTTAAGTAATCTAATGTACTTAACCTTGATAATAATGTCTCATTAATATGACCAAATCTACAATGCCATAAGAAAAGGAGATTTTCATATTACTTTAAACTTTTGTTTAAACAAACAAATTCTATGTAGTGTTCGCAACACCCTGTGCCTTGAAACACATACAACATCTCTTTCAACGCCCTTTTCTTTGCAGAAAATAGATCATTGAATAATTTCAGCTTTAATTCATCCTTCCCTTAGGCTTCTAGGTTGTAGGCCTAGAAACAATTTCAACCTCTCTTCTACTTACTCTTACCCTTGGTAAGATTTAACAGAAGAACTCGCCATGAGTACAACCTTTTCTAAGAGTGAATAGATTGTAAGTCTTG